GACTAAAATCATAGCTTATAATATATACATACATGGATTTAAGAGAAAAAATAAATCTCTTACTGTTATTATTGTACTATTATTCGTCAAGTGCAGTGAGAATTATATAAAAATATAATTACTTATTACTAATACTTATTTTACAATAAGTAAAAAATATTATAATCGAGCCACCACCTATTTCTACAGTTACATGAACATGTGAAACATAGTACGATATGCAAACCCAAATTAAATCATATACCGATATGTATATTTGACATTACAAACACCTAAACATATTATATGGATTACATAAATATATATATAAGCATATAAACATTCAAATATACACCTCAATAAGTCGCCTACATATAGGCATACACATATTTACATACCTACACACATACTAGTATATTATAACCTTACATATTCTTATATAATTAAATAGTATTCATACATAGGTACATACGTACATAGATATATATTTAATTAAAAAGCATTCATGCATACATATAGACTCGATCTATTATTCCAAATAATAATTTACATAAAATATTTTCGATATATAATTTATTTGATACCTAATTTATTAAACATATATTAATTATTATATATTAACAGTTGATACATAAAATATATCACAACGTAGACATGCATACTGATACAACGCTATCCAATATACAGCAATTAAATGCAATATAGGACCTACTCAGTACTCATATATAATTTACTCATTTTTTCGTTAAATACGTAGGTAGAATTTATGCTGAAATCTAAAAATGTACTCATCAATGTGAATATACGTTAAAATGTACTAATTTCGATAAAAACATAGCTGTCTGTGTGTAAATACAAAAATATTGCTAAAATAAGTAAAAATATCATAATTTTAATAAAGCATATGGAACCATTACAATATTTTAGTGAAAAATAGAGGAAAATATCATAATTTCATTAAAATCATGTAATATTATAAAAAATATCATATCCCTACCTAATTACCATCAAAGGCATATATACAGTTTAGTTATTAAGTGTATCTAAATGCATGAACACCATTATAACGAGTCTAAACGACCGATACATATCGTTGCACTTGATAATATAATTATAAGTTCATATAATATTATTGATATAATATTATATGAACTTTTTTGATTGCTTCATTTTCAGTAGATAAACCCATGTACTATTTACACATATTTATCACACAATTCTAATGCAGCTTATAGTCTAGAATATCATATTAATATCATATTAAGAATTCTTAAAAGCATTACATGAAAAACCGTATTTATTTCAAAGATGAAACAAATTCATATTTAAATTCCATGGTATTAATAATAAAAAGCATACTATTATATAGTTGTCTTCATCACATATTAGCAAAAACAAAATAAAATGTAGGTACGTTAAGCGGTGATAATTTTCCACTTAATGATTTCATATATAGAAAACCATATATATTTAAATTACTTTTAATGCATATCTTATACACATAGCCCAGCATTTATTTTGTACAACATTATAGAAATGTATTATTTGTACAGTTATATACTACATGGATGCTTATTACTTATACTTTTCATGTATTATTCCATATACTTTGTAAAATAATGATGAAATCACTTGTATATTGCCATCACAAGCTTGGGAATATATTTGAAAAAAATCATGATTTTTCAGGAAAATCGGTAAAAATATGCTAATTTCCCCCAAATTATGATAATATTATAATTTTGATAAAATCTTATACTAATATAATTTCTATGTCAAGATCATGTCTAAAATATTGAAATTCTTAATAATAACATAAAACTATAGTTTGTAAATCAATCCATCAATCATATCGCGTTAGATATTAAATGCAACTATACACTATAACAGAAATATTTCAGTTCTAAATAGTTGACTTACTTCTCTTCAATCTACACTATAATATGATATTATATCTAGTTTTATGACTCATACATTATATTATGTTAAAACATGTACACATATTTTCATAAGTTCAATAAAAATGTGTTCAATTGTAATTATCATAATCTCACTGTACAAATATATATATATATATATATATATATATATATAACTAATATATTTTACCTTTAAAAACCAGTACATTCGTAGATACCTTTGCTAGAAGTTATTATTTTTGTTTAAATATCATAAAAACTGTATTCATAGAGCCACACTCATCAGCTATATAATATAACACCCATACTATCATTAAAATGTTCACTGATTTTCATCACTATACCTGTATCAAAATACACAAACCTATAACACGTCGGTCAAAAATAAAGCATTGATTTTTAGATTAAAATATATAAGATCACTATATATATTTTTTTTTTATTGATTTTCCATCAATGTAACATAGAAATCGTATATTTGTCTCCAATTATCGTTAAATATATGAGAGTATTTATGCTGAACCATACCCTATCGCTTATATTATAATAAATCATATGATAGGTGGGTTGGTACAGATTATATCTTATATGCATCACTTAACACTCATTTTACACAAAATACTAGGAATTTATTTTTAAGTTTTTCGACTAGATACATAAATATTTTTATACACTATTGTATTTACTTCATAAATAATGTAAAGCACATGTTTATTACCATCACAAGTTAGGATATATCTTACCATATTGTATAGTAGATATAAAATAATAAATTAGTCATAGCTTGATTTTATATAGGTATATTATATTAATTTGTATATTGAATATTCATACAATTACATTTCTATATTCGTTGTAAATATAACCATTTCGATCGTAAATATCAACATACTGATAGTAAATATAAACATATTTACACTCCAATACATATAGACACTATACAGATCTTAATAAAACTATATTAATAAGACGATACTTAAATATTAAAAACCTATACAAAAATGTATAATTTCAACAGTCTGCAATGCTGATATAAATAATATATCTAGCTTTTATTGTATTCGACTTGAATCTAATTAAATATTAATTGAAGGGTGTACAGTTTTGTATAATAATATCATATTTTCAATGAAAATATATACAAACTTCATATTCATATTAAAAATCAGTAGGTTTCAAATAAAAATCATATTAGATGTAACCATATTATGATAAATATTATATTTTTTAGTTGTCATAAATATAATCATTTCGATCGTAAATATCAGCATATTAATCGTAAATATAAACATATTTGTTTCTCGACACATATGGGTACTATACAGGTCTTGATAAAAATATGAGACAAAAAGTAAATACCTATTTAAAATCTCATAAAAATTTATAATTTCAACAGTCTACAAAACATATATAAATATAAGTTTTACTGTTTCGACTTTAATCTAAATAATTAATACACAAATTTTATTTGTATAATAATATCATATTTTCACTGAAAATATACAAGCTTCATTTTCATATTGGTACATTCATAGATACCTTTGCTAAAAGTTATTATTTTTCTTTAAATTTCATAAAAACTGTATTCATAGAACCAAATTCATCAGCTATATAATATAACACCTATACTATCATTAAAATTTTCATTGATTTTCACACTATACCTGTCTCGAAATAACAAACCTATAACACGTTGGTTAAGAATGATTTTCAGATTAAATATAAGACCACTATATTTTTTATGATTTTCCATCAATGTAACATAGAAATCGTATATTTGTCTCCAATTATGGTTAAATACTTGAGGGTATATTTATACTGATATCATACCCGATCGCTTAGGTATATAATAAAGCATATGATAGGTGGGTTGGTACAGATTATATCTTATATGCATTACTTAACACTCATTTTACACAAAATACTAGGAATTTATTTTTAAGTTATTCGACTAGATACATAAATGTTTTATACATTATTCTATTTACTTTATAAATAATGTAAAGCACATGTATATTAACATCACAAGTTAGGTTATATCTTACCATTTTCAGTAGATATTAAATAATTAGTCATAGTTTGATTTTATATAGGTATAATATATATTCATACTATTATATTTCTATATTCGTTGTAAGTATCAACATACTGATCGTAAATATAAACATATTTTTTACTCCAACACATATAGACACTATATATATCTTGATAAAACTATCTTAATAAGACGATACGTAATAAATAAAGATATCACAAAAATTTATAATTTTACCAGTCTACAACGCTGATATAAATATAGCTTTTATTGTATTCGACTTTACTCTAAATAATTGATAAGTACACATATTTGTATAATAATATCATATTTTCAATGAAAATATACACAAACTTCAAATTAATATTAAAATCAGCAGATTTTCAAATAAAAATCCTATTAGATGAAAAACGATAACAACAAAAATATACTTAACTCATTTTTAGATAATACTGTGTTCATGGTGTGAAATTACAAATAAATCATAAATGTTCCATAAAGTTGCCTTAGAGTTTTTGGGAAAGGCATTCATACTTACTTATTGAAAAACAACCTTGTTCTGTTAGAAATTAGAAATATAATGAAAACACCAATATGTATTATAAATCTAATATAGAATCATTAGTATTATTAGTATCACCTAACTTATATTTTATTTGTTTATTTTATTAATATTTAAATAAATTCACCTAGCAAATGTGTACCTAACTCACAAGCGATAAATTAAATAGAGAATGTGGTTCTGTAGCAATTGTGACTTTTGTGACCTGGTAAATATTTTAAAGGGATCTGTAAAAATGTTAGCTTTAAAAATTGAAATAACATAAATGACACGCTTGGCATTATACCTACATACAATTCACTATATATAGGAACAATGAACATCATTAATTCCATATTATTTATTTTTAATAAATCTACGTAATAAGTTATTTCTAAATATCAGTATTTTGTTGGTTTTTACACCTTCTTAGATCCTTCAACTTATTATTAGGTTATAACACACTGATATTAAAATTAATTAAAATTTTTAAAATAATTTCAAAGGTGTTATGTCAGTTAAAGAAATGGATACCTTACAGACTTCATCTTGTGAAAATAATCTAAAGCAAGTTCTGAAATCAAAAGACTGTAAACCAACACATTTTAGAAGTGACTCTCACTCTGCCAGAATACTGGAAAGTTTACAATCTCTACTCAAGTATGTTGATGGTTATTTTAACTTCATTCAAAATAAATATCAGTAACACATTTTCGTTTTTAGAAATGAAGTTTTATGTGACATTAGACTTGAAGCAGATGATGGTAAAATTGTAATTGGACATAAAATTATTTTAATAGCAGCTAGTCCATATTTCCGAGCAATGTTTAGTAATTTTGATGAAAGCAATAAAGACCTGATTAATATAAGAGAATTGGATTCCACTATTTTACAACTATTAGTAGATTATATCTATACTGGAGAAATTATGATCACAAAAGAAAATGTACAGGTATAATAAAATATTTTATTTGATATTTCGACTTCAAACAACATATTATTTTATGTTAATTATTGTTGATTTCTTAGATGTTGTTACCCGCCGCAAATATCTTACAGTTAGATTATGTAATTGGTGTATGTGCTGAGTTTTTACAAAAACAACTGGATCCATCAAATTGCATTGATATCAAAGCATTTGCTGACTTACATAACTGTACGGGATTGTTGTCGCGTTCTGAAGCATATATTAAACAACATTTTTTGTATGATAAACATAATTTAATTCTTTAAATCAAAGAAATAGTAAGTATTTATAAAAATAATGATTATTATTTCCAGAGAAGTAGTTAAAGGCGAAGATTTTTTATTCTTATCTTCTAAAGACTTGATATGGCTTATTTCATCTAATGACCTTGCCGTTCCGTTTGAAGAAAAAGTAAGCAAACTACAAATTATAATTTGTGATATTTTGTATGAAAAATCAACTTAAAAAGGTGGGCAAGTAGGTTTTTTCCCACAAATAATTAAATAACTAAAATCAATAAAGCTTGATGACCAAATTATAACAATTTTATTGATTTTTATTGAAAATATACAAAAAAAATGCCTTATTTCAAATGTCTATAACAAGCTTTAAATGAGTTTAAATGTTATCATGTATAAAAAATTATGTAAATGAAATATTAAGTATCTATCTGTTGAAACTAGGTAAAATTATACAAAGTATTATTTATTACATAATGATAGTTCAAATAAATTTTATCAGCTTGATGGTAATGAATTTTCTATGTCCTCTCCAACTGCAACTAAGTGGCTATAACTTACACCTCCGCAAACCACAGGCTAATATCAATAGGCCTAAAAAATGTTGCAAATGCAGCACATGAGCCTTCTACTTCTTGTCATATTGTGTTTTGTGTGTATTCAAAAATAACAAATAATATATATTGAACACCATACAAATATAATAATTAATTTTCCTTTGCTTGCTATAAAAAATAGAACACTGAGATCTTGAAAATCTATTATATTTATGGGATCCTGTGAAAATTATACACTATTGGGTTTAACAAATTATTATTAAATTTTAATCTAGTTTTAAATATTTATTATTATAGGTATTTGAATGTGTTATCAAATGGGTAAAACATGATTTGGATTGCAGAAAAGATTGCTTGCCAAAATTAATGGAACATGTACGTTTGCCATTATTAAAGCCTGATACATTATTTAATATATCTGAAGAACCTCTTCTAAAAAATAGTCCTAAATGTATGTTATTTTTATAAATATGCTATCATTATGAATTTATGTATTTTTTTGATTATTACATTAATGTTTTTAGGTAAAGATTTTGTGTATGATGCATTACAATTTAATCTACAAAAATCAGTTCAGCATTTCGCTATTCCAAAAACAATTAGGTGTAAACCTAGACAGTTCGGTGGCCCTCAAAAAGTATGATTCAGAATTGATTAATTTATCTTCACAATAATTTTGTCCGTTTAATTCTATTAGGTTATTCTAATGTTCAGTCTGCGATCTGACACATCGCCAAACTGTTATACAGAATGGTACGACCCTGCAATGAAACGACGAAGGAATGCACCAGGGTTAAATGAATGTCGTAAGTTTGCTGGTCTTTGTGTTATAAGAGATCAATTTGTGTTTGCTGTGGGAGGTGTAAATGAATTGAGTTCTAAATCTGTTAGAATGCTTGATGTGTCTTTACAATCACCTTCCTGGGTCCCAATGGTCGACATGTTAGTTAGTCGGATAAGGCAAGGTGTTGGTGTATTGGACAATTGTATTTATGCAGTAAGTTTAACCAATATTTACCTAATTTTATGTCATACATATATATATATATTGTTTTGTAATTTTAGGTTGGTGGAGGAGATGAATACAATGCATTAAACAGTGTTGAGGTTTTTGATGTCAATATTCAAAAATGGAGATTGGTAGCTTGTATGTCTGCTAAAAAATGGGATTTGGGTGTTGGTGTACTCAATAATTTAATTTACGTGGTAACTAATAATATTCATTCTTTATATTATTCAATTTGTTTTACATTTCATAAAATTAAATTGTGTAGGTTGGGGGTGCTAGTAATGGTAATAGTTTGAAATCTGTAGAATATTATGATCCCACACTTGACACATGGACACCAGTTGCAGATATGTCTGTATGTCGTCAAGGTGTTAGTGTAGGTGTCTTGGACGGTTTTATATATGCCATTGGTGGCTATGGTGGAAAATATCTTAAAAGCGTTGAGGTTTATAGACCGAATGATGGAGTTTGGTCTTCTATAGCTGATATGGAAATATGCCGATTTCGTCCAGGTAACAATTATAATTTTTATTACAACCTTTGTAGAAATATATTGAATTTAAATTAAATTTGTGTATAGGAGTAGTGGCATTAGATGGATTATTGTATGTTATGGGTGGAGAAATGGAAATATCAATTGATACTGTAGAAATTTACAACCCCAACACCAATACTTGGACCATGGAGAGATTGTCAAGAAATGGAGTACGAATTTATGGTGGAGTAGTTGTTGATAGACCACTAAATTTAATTAACTAAACGGCATACATATTGGTCTAATTGTTGGTAGTAATATGAATATAGTTATGTATAATTTATGATGAAACGTGTATTGTTCTATTCATTTTTCTTTCTCTGAATGTTTTATAAAAATGTATTTTTATAATTTAAATTAATTATTTACTCTATTTCCTGTAAGTTGACCAACTTAATTTACTCACGCAGAGTATGGTGAAACGTTGTGACATTAAAGTTCACTGTAGTCGTGAAACACCACGGTTTATACGTAGTTAACTATATAGTCACAGCATATTCACCATACATTGTGTGTGCAATAAATAAAAGTGGGTCAACTAACTGGGAATAGAGTATAGTAATATTATGAACATATTTATGTATAATTTATGATGTAAGGTATTATATTCTATTCACATTTTTTTTTTTAAATTTAAATTTATTATTTACAAATAAAATTAATAAGCTATAATGTTAATTATATTTGAGTATATCAGTAAAATCTTATATAATTTACTTTTCACATTTTATCTTTTAGATTCTGTGAGGAGCAATGAATAATTTTCACACGACAACCATAAGCACTACTTTTTTTTGAATATTTCCCCTCATTATTTATAGATATTTTCAATTTTCAATGGGTTTTAGTTCTTTTTTCTATACATTTCGGTAAAATGTTGAAAAAACCTTAAAATATAATACAAGGTTGATCATACATTGTTATAATTTCAACTTAAAAATATAAATAATTGACCAAACAAATAAAATTGTATTGACTATTATAGGAAAAAAAATTGTATTTGAAATTGTTTGTAAACTGGTCAAAACGAGTCAAAATATTTTCAAAATTTTATGGTACCTATCTACAGTTATTCGTTTTTAATTTACAAAAAAAATAAGAACTTCAGACGCTCTAAAAAATTTAATTTGACTTTCTTATACTTTTTTTTTGTTGATAAGGATAGATAACTTTATAAAGAAACTTGTATTACATTTTAAATTTAAGATTTATAAAAAAAATTTAGGAACTTCTAACTCAAAATAATTTGCACATTTTCGTGTTTTACACGCCTTTTGTCAAAATTGGAACTTTAAATGCTTATAAAAAAAAATTGTGACTGTATTTTTAATATTTTTCATCTGTCATTGTAACAATATATTAGGAGGCTTGTATTAAATTTTCAAGCTTTTTGACCCGGCAAATTATAGTTTTTGATACCTATTTATAGAAATAAAAACTAAACAAATTGGAAACTGAATATGTCTGTGAACATCTCAACACAAATAAAAATATTTTGATGATTATTAAAAATGTTTGTATAAACTGCTTGTTTAATTTCATGTATCTGATCATTTGTTTTAGAGTTACACCAAAAACCAAAATCGATTTTGTGTAAAAATTAGTTTTTTTTCTTAATTTTAATTTTTGTTTTTCTCTGTACTTATGAGAATTTTAAATTTCGATTTTCCAATTTACCAACCAAATTCTTTTTCTCATCGAAAAAGATACTGTTGGAGGCAGTCTTACTGCCCCAAACGGTGACGACAGACACAAAAATGAAAATAAAAAATACACATCATTGTAAAATCAATACATCATTCATCTCTCCAAATCTAAAATTCATAATGATTGCATATTTATGAAAACAATATACACTTAAGAATATTGTTTAGAAGATGTTTTCCAGATATATTAAATAATTTATATATAGACTTTAGTAATAGCAAAACGTATATGTTCCATACATTTTGGCAAACAATCTTTTCTCCGTTCCAAATCATGTTTTAACTATTTGATAATACCACAGACTATATAAAATATAGACACATATGTGACTAAATATATTATGACTATATATAATTTTCATAATACAGTTTATGATAATACCAAAATAACAAGTTTTTAAACTAAATTAAAATAATAAATATTAGTTTGACAAACCACCCAAACTGATTTTGCGTAAAAATTCCCGTTTTTCCTTAATTTTTATTTTGTTTTTCTCTGGGTTTTTGAAAACTAGGTATTAGCTAGGAGATATGCTCCTGATATATTGATTAAATAGCAGTTGAAAAAATACATATTCAACGTTTTTTTTATAAGCATTTAAAGTTTAATTTTTGACAACATTTATCAAATTTAAAATTTAAAAAGGTGGGCAAGTGAGTGTCACTCTGCTGTACAGTAGGTTACAAGTGGGTCACTGTATAATGGATGATTTAAATTTGAATTCAACGATATATTATCATTGTATAAGAAAAACGATTCTGAGCGGAGACTGTATGTCAGTCTAGGTATAAAACATATTATATACATAATATCTATGGTATTAAACAAAAAATTGACCTATTGAATAATAGGTACCTATAATAAATTCCAAATTAATCATACCACAATATCCATTAGGTACTTATAACGCGTTATACATCAACAAAAACCGTGATACTATCATAGATATATAATAGTACACTTTAGAAATTTCAAGTACCCACGAATAATATTATTCAATCACAACAAAAAGACTAAAATAGTTATTCTAGGCTTTTTAATATGTAATTTCGTCTAAATTTGAATTTTAAATGTCAGTCAAAAACAACTGTGTTCATATATTTTTTAGATTTTTTGGCTACAGTATGAACTATTAATGAGAATCTTTTTTTTTAAATTTTCAATCCTTAACAATAAAAACTGAACATTTTACAATTTATTAATTACGGTGATTGACAATTTTCGAGATTTTGATAAATTTTGTCAAAATGCGATCTTTAAATGCTTATAAAAAAAAATTGTGCCTATGTGTTTTTAATATTTTTCAATTGCTATTGTAACAATATATCAGGAGCCTTGTATTAATTTTTTACACTTTTTGGCCCAACAGATAAAACTTTATTGATATTTATAGAAAAAAAAAACTAAAAAAATTGAAAACTGAAAATGTCCGTAAACGGCTCAAAAAGAGTCAAAATATTTTCAAAATTGTATGGTGTATAGGAAATGCTAATATAAATATTCAGTGAAATTTTCATGTATCTACAGTAATTCATTTTTGAATTGCAACAAAATAAGGAAATCGCCACATGAGAAATCGAGTGAATATCCAATGTTCTAAAAATTTGAATTTCAAACGCTCATAAAAATTTAATTTGACTGTCCGGTAGAGATTTTTTTATTGATAAACGTAGACAAACTTATGAGTAATCTTATATTACATTTTCAAATCTTAGATTTAAAAAGAAAAATTATTACGAATTCTTAACTCAAAATATTTTCGTGATTTTTCCATATTCTGTCAATGTTTGAACTTTAAATGCTTATAAAAAAAAACTGTGACTAAAGATTTTTAATATTTTTCATCTGCCTTTGAAACAATATACTAGGAGCCTTCTATTAAATTTTTAATTTTTTTTAACCAACAAATAAAATTTTATTGTTATTTCTAGAAAAAAAATTAATGAAAAATGAAAATGTCCCTAAACAGTTCAAAATAAATCAAAATATTTTGAAAATGTTATCGTGTACCTATAGAAAATGCAAATATAAACAACCAGTGAAAATTTCATGTATCTACGGTCATTTGTTTTAAAGTTACACCAAAAACCAAATTCAATTTTCTGAAAAATCGATTTTGCGTAAAAATTCCCGTTTTTCCTTAATTTTTCTTTTGTTTTTCCCGGCGCTTTTGAAAAGTACTGGGAAATTTAAATTTTGACCTCCTCAATGCACCAACGATATTCACTTTCCAATCGAACAAGATACTGAAGTTGAAAATCGAAGCATTATTTCGACTACTTATCGTGTACAAAGACACAAAAAAAAAAAAAAAAAAACACATCATTGTAAAATCAATACATTCATCGTTTCACTCAAAATCTAAAATATAAAACTACAGTTATTATTTACGTACATTTGTCATTTTCAAAGTTAGACAAAATTACGTCATATTAACCAAGCAAATAGTTAATTCGTTGAAATTTAAAAATATTATTTGTGGGTATATTAAACTTTTAGAGTATATTATTAATATAATTTATATTTTATACACACGCAATGAAATTTTCTAATGTAATTTTTTGGCAAAAATTGATTTAACCACCTGTTGTACTATATAATAGTAAAATAAATTACTTTCATCGAAATACTATCATCAAAATAATTACTTAGTAATATTATAGGTTGATAGTTCGTTTACGCTCAGAATCGTGTCTCGTTATTATCACAGAATTTACTATAGCCAATTTTGAAGGCTAGAGAGCCTATATTGCTATATAATAATAACAATAATAATATATTCTATTCTATTATTCTTATATGGGCTCTCCTGTTTATCAGGTTTATCTACAAATTCGCTAGATTAAACCGGTGTGAAAAAAAATTCACCTTGATGGGCGGGATGTTTGGACTTTGGTACATATACACGCACTCACGGAAACTGGAAAGTACAGTATATTACTATTATATCCATGTGTGTAATGTGTATACGCATTATCGGTCTACTAAGTTATTAATTTTATATTTATCGATGTGACGATGTGTTATTGTTATTTTTTTTTATTATTTCAATAATTAATATTACCGCGTACAGATCGACGCGACGCGATTCGTCGAAGCGGTATCGCACAATCGCAATAGTCGCCGGCCTTAATCCACGTAAGTATCGCAGTCGTGGTCAATGGTCAGAACGACGTCACGTTATCTGGTATATCCACGTTTAAAGATATATTAATATATTATAGTAAAATATTGTGCTCAGAACTCACGTCTGTTGTCGCTTGTCAGGAGGTACTCACTTTAGTTATAGTAGTTATTAACTTAAAACTTGTCACTTGAAAGTTCGCCAGAATCGCTACTCCAACACCTTCACCGTTGCCGCGAGCAAAGCCAGTCAAGCGACGAGGTAAGAATTTTTTTAAAAACATTCATCAAAGTTGATGTTTAAGTATATGGACATATTATAATGTGTATAGTATACTGTCTGCGTAAAAAAATTTACCTGTTCTATAGAAAATGTGTCTTTTATGTCTCTTAAAGAATTTTCAGAAATAGACACTGAACGCTTCCATTCTTTTTGTATAATAAATTGCCTTTCAAGTAGGATTTTTGCTCCGTGTGACTATTTATATTACGTTTTACATTTTTACGTATCTCCATAAACCCTCAATTTTTTGTGCTTGAACACGTCCTGTATGTGTATTAATCGACATCTATTGATATAAGTTATTACTTAGGTTACCTAGGGTTACACCAGTGGTGACCCATCAGAAGATTTTCGATTTTCGGCGTATACCCAATATAAAATCTTATTTTACGGGTCGGTATGCGTTTCCAAAATAACCAGAAAACCAAATAAGATTTAAAATTTATTTAATAGTTCATATAGGAAAAAAACGTTATTCGTTATTATGTATAAATGAATTATTTATCAATTGAAGTAGGTATTGAATATAAGTTATATAACAATATGCGTTGTGTTTAATGTATTTTAAGGCTCTAAGTTCAATTTAGTAAACCCAATATTGAATACAAAAAATCTTTGTGGACAATTTTATAGATTGTACCTATAATAATAATGTTATTATTATTTTAATTTTTTTGACATTCGAGTTGATTTTGGTTTATTTTCTATTGTTACATTATAAAAAAAATTATTAAAATAATGTTAAAAACTATGTACTAATTGAACTGCAATAATATAATATATACGATGATATAATTTGATCGTTTAGGTTACATACATATTTTATTGGTGCGTATACCCATAAATATATTTACCTGAATACACCACTGCTTAGGTACCTATTAGTTTGGTGTAGAAAATCGTACGTACGTTAACCCCCTCCCCCAACCTGAATTTTTAAATTTTTTTTGCTTCAATAGTTAGTGCTGAATTCCAGTAAATTCCTACAGCAGGAGCTCTACCCGAGAACTTTCTAAGCTACTTTAGTAACGTTACGACTGCCATATCCGGGGAAACTTGGACTTTCTGGAAATTTTAATAATTAATCTACCTAATAAGCTAATAATTTCTTAACATCAGTATTTTGTTGGTTTTAGATTCTGAGCGGAACGATGCGATGAATGTATTGATTTTACAATGATGTGTGTTTTTTAAATTTTTTTTTGTGTCTGTGTACCTACAGTCTACACGATAAGTTGTCGAAAAAATGTTTCGATTTTCAATTTAAGTATCTTGTTCGATGGGAAAGTGAATCTAGTTGGTGCATTGGGGAGTTCAAAATTCTCAGTAGCTATACCTAAATTTCAATATCGCCGGGAAAACAATAAAATAAAAAAATAAGGAAAAACGAAAATAATTAGTACTCAAAATCGGTTTCCGACAAAATCGATTTTAATTTTTGGTGAAAGTCTAAAAAAAAAAGATCGTAGATACATAATAATATTTCATATATAAATATTAGCATTTTCTATACACGATAAGATTTTCAAAATATTTTGATTTGTTTTGAACTGTTAGGTAGGTACTGACGTTTTCTGTTTTCAATATTTCTAGTTTTTTTATCTATGAATGTCAATAAAATTTTATTTGATGGGTAAAAAAGCTTAAAAATGTGATACAAGCCTCTTAAAATATTGTTACAACGATATTTGAAAAATATAAGAAATTCAATGTCCCAATTTTTTGTTATAAGCATTTAAACTTCAAATCTTGACAAAACTCGTAAAAATCACGAAAATGTGCAAATTATTTTGAGTTAGCCATTCATAAATATTTTTAGTTTTAAATCTAAGATTTGAAGATATAATACAAGATTCCTCATAAGTTTCACTACCTTTATCAAGAAAAAATATCTACAAGAAAGTCAAATATAATTTGTATGAGCGTTTGAAGTTCATATTTTTCAAGATAGGTAGGTACTAAGATATTCTCTCGATTTCTCGTGTAGCGATTTTCTTATTTAGTTGTAGTTCAAAAACGAACAACTATTGATACATTAAAATGTCACTGAATGTTTATATTGTCGTTTCCTATACTTAAACCATTAAATTATTAAAATATTTTGACTCGTTTTGATCTGTTGTTTACGGAAATTTTCAAATTTAAATTTTTTTAGTTTTTTTTTCTATAAATTTCAATAAAATTTTATCTGCTGGGCTCCGATATAAGACTCTCGATATAAGGCTTCTGATATATTTTTACAAAAGCAATTTAAAAATACATACCTACTCACAATTTTTTTTATTTAGCATTTAAAGTTTGATTTTTGACAAAATTTATCAAATTTAAAATTTAATAATTATTTTGTTCAACATTTATAGCTAAGGATTGAAAATTTAAAACAAGGTCAAACATAAATAGGTTGTATATAAATTATGTTATTCACAATAATATCATTAATTAATATACTTATAGTAATATCATAGGCTGACTGACCATCTTCGCTCAGAATTGTTTTTCTTATACGATGATACGAGCAATGATATTATATTTTTGAATTCAAATTTAACACCATATCCATTATACATGTAGAGTTACACCCACTTGTCCACTTTTAGTTTTTACCCAGTAAAAGGTACTTAAATTTAGTATTAAATTTTATCACAATGCTATTAACATTAATCAACATTTTTAAAATATATTAATTAAATATAGATATGTCAGTAAAAGAAATGGATACCATTCAGGCTTCATATGGTGAAAATAATCTAAAGCAAGTTATGATTTCAAATGATTGTAAACCAACAAATTTTAGAAATAACTATCACTCTGTTAGATTACTAGAAGACTTACAATCCCAACGCAAGTATGTTAACAGTGATTTTACTATCATTCAAAATAAATATGATCGAGTAGCACATTTTTGTTTTTAGAAAAGAAGTTTTATGTGATGTTAGATTTGAAACAGATGATGGTAAAATTGTAATTGGACATAAAAATGTTTTAATAGCAGCTAGTCCATATTTCAATGCAATATTAAGTAATTTTGATGAGAACAATAAAGATCTTGTTAATATAAGAGAATTAGATTCCACCATTTTACAAATATTAGTAGATTATATCTATACTGGAGAAATTATGGTCACAAAAGAAAATGTCCAGGTATAATTAAATATTTAATTTCATATAGACTTCAAACAACATAATATCATTTTATGTCAATTTTTGTTGATTTCTAAGGTGTTGTTACCAGCAGCAAATGTATTACAGTTACATTATGTAAATTATGTATGTGCTGAGTTTTTAAAAAATCAACTAGATGTATCGAATTGTCTTGGTTTCAAAGCATTTGCTGACTTACATAAGTGTACCGAATTGTTGTCGAGTTCTGAAGCATTCATTAGACAACACTTTTTGTATGATAAACATAACTTAATTCTCTATATCGGTCAGTAATTAATTGTAAAAATAATGATTATTATTTTCAGAGAAGTAGTTAAATGCCAAGACTTTCCATCTTTATCTTCTGATGATTTGGTGAAATTTATTTCCTCTAATGGCCTTGCTGTTCCGTCTGAAGAAAAAGTAAGCAAAATACAATTGTTAATTTACATTTTGATATTTTGTATGGAAAATTAACATTAAGAAGGTGGGCAAGTGGGTGTTGCTCGGCTGTACAATAGGTTTCTAAAAGGATCGCTGTGACAGATGAGTTATAATATTTGAATTCATAATATAAAATTGTTGTATACAAAATATGATTTTGAATTAAGACAGTTTGATAGTAATACATACTGTAATTCTGCAGGAAGTTATATTAAATTCTTCAAAAAGTTTCATATTAATTAATATAAATGATCTATTAAGATCATTGTGTGTATAAAATATAGTATTATACTTAACAAGTTTCTTGAACTCAAAAATTATATTTTTAAATTAAGAAACTTAAATCAATAAAACTTCATGAACTAACAAAAAAGAATGTAATTGACAATTTCAGAAAAAAAAACCTAAAAATACTTTTTAAAACAAATTTCAACTTTCTTTAAATAGCTTAAATTTAATTTTTTTAAATTCTTTAAATTTATAATAATTAATATTCCTTTGTTTGCTATAAAAAGAAGGAACTCAAGATCCAGAAGATCAATCGTTTTTAAGGGATCCTGTGATAATAATTATATTTCTAAATATGTGTTATTGTAGGTATTTGAATGTGTTATCAAATGGGTAAAACATGATATGGATCGGAGAAAAGATTTACTGCCAGAATTAATGGCACATGTACGTTTTCCATTATTAAAGCCTGATATACTATTTAATATATCTGAAGAACCTCTTCTAGACAATTTTTCTAAATGTATGTTGCTTACATAAATATGCCATCATTATTAAGAATCATCATTACTAAGAATCATTATTATAATATTTTTAGGCAAAGATCAGATAATTGAAGCATTACGTTTTAATCTACAAAAATCGGTTCAGCATTTAGCCATTTCAAAAACGGTTATGTGTAAACCTAGACAGTTTAATAGTTCTCAAAAAGTATGCTTCCTAGTTGATTAATTTATCTTCACAAATTATTTTGTCAATTTAATTCTATTAGATTATTCTAATGTTCAATCGGTCTGAAACATCTCCAATGTGTTACACAGAATGGTATGACCCAGCAACCAAGCTAAGAGAGAATGCACCTGGGTTAAATGATTGTCGTCAATTTGCTGGTCTTGGCGTAATAAGAGATCAGTTAGTTTTTGCTGTAGGAGGTGTAAATCAATCAAGTTCTGTATCTGTTAGTATGCTTGATGTATCTTCACAATCACCTTCTTGGTTGCCTATGGTCGACATGTTAATTGGTCGAAGACGTTTAGGAGTTGGCGTGTTAGATAATTGTCTGTATGCAGTAAGTTATATTAACATATTACTTATTATATATTATGAATATTTATTATTTTGTTATTCTAGATTGGCGGTTATGACGGCACCAAAGCATTAAGTAGTGTCGAGGTATTTGATGTCAATATTCAAAAATGGCGAATGGTATCTAATATGTGGATTAAGAGAAGTGATTTTGGTGTTGGTGTACTCAATAATCGCTTATACGCGGTGAATAATTATATAATTTCTTTATTTTTAATTTGCAATATGTAATTTAATTAAATCGTTTAGGTTGGAGGTGGTAATAAAGTAGTTTTGAAATCTGTTGAATATTATGATCCCAGTCTTAACAAATGGACACTAGTTTCAGAAATGTCTGAAGATCGTCAAGGTGTCAGTGTAGTAGTTTTGAACGGTCTTATGTATGCTATCGGTGGTTATAATGGAATAGAGGATCTTAAAAGTGTTGAGGTTTATAGACCAAGTGATGGAGTTTGGTATTCTATAGCTGACATGCATTTATCACGTTATTGTCCTGGTAACTATTACAATTATATTTTTTTAGAATAACCTTCGTATAAATATATTAAATTTAAACAACTATTTTGTTAAAGGAGTAGTGGCATTAAATGGTTTATTGTATGTTATGGGCGGAGTAACTGGTGATTCAATTGATAGTATAGAAATTTACGACCCCCACACCAATACTTGGACCATGGAGATATTGTCAAGTCGTGGAGTATGTCTTTATGGTGGAGTAGTCGTTAATAGACCAAAATCAGCATACAGAAGTACTCATTTTTGGAAGTAATATGAACATGTTTAAATGTTTTTGTATAATTTATGATGAAACGTTTTTTGTTCTATACACTTGTTTTTTTGAATGTTTGATGAGAATATTTTTTTTTTTATAATTAAAATTGATTATTAAATTAAATTAATAATTTTTGAAGATAATAATATTGCAGTATATTTAAATTGTATCTTTTAGTTTATGTGTGGATCGACAAAAAAATTACAAAATATATTACATGAAAAAAAAAATACAATTGAAATATCAGTATACTTCTGCTTAAAAATGTGTTATTAATAGGACATGGAAAATGTGATAATATTAATTTTGCAAGGAGTACCAATACGAAGTTAAAAAATGTGTTATTATACCTTCAAATTACAGTTTTGTTAAACAATTTATTGACTCTATAAAATTTTTCACTTTTTGGGGTAGTTAAAATGCTGCGATTGCCTAGTATCTTTTCTGGTAGGAAATTGAATTTAGTTTGTGTATATTCAAGTGGTCAAAAATAAAAATTATCAGAAATTATCAAATTTTAAAAAGTCCATTTTTTTTTGCTCTAATAGATGTAACTCAAAAACGAATATAATAATATGTAATCGATACTTGAAATTTCTATTATATTACTATGTGTATAATGTATATATTAGCATAATGACAATTTTTCAAAAAAATTTGGCTTATTTTGAGAAACATTTGACATTTAAGAATTTTTTTTATATAAATGTTGATAAAAATGTAGTTATGCAAGGTAAAAATCCTTGAAAATTTAATACAATATTACTCATAATATATTTTTTATATTATACCATAATAAATATCGATAATAAACTGTCACAATATAATATATAATATAATAATATAAGTGTTTCAAGTTCAAATTTTGACATAATTCATCAAAATCGTGAACATTTGCAAATTATCATCCCTAGTTTTATATTTTTTCAGTACATAAAGAAAATTATTTTAGTAGTCTTCAGTGGTCTTATTCAATTGATTATCATTTATTTCGAATACAATAGAATCCTGATGATTCTGCTTTCAGAAATTATTCAAAATTAAACATTGGTCAAAGAGTAAAAAGAAAGTATTTGTATTTTAAGCTGTAGTAATTAATTTTCCGATATATCTAATTATCTATCAATCTACACCATTATACCTAACAGCTAACACATATTTTTATTTTAAATATGCGTTCAGAGGTTAGAAAATGTAAAAGGAATTCGATACCGACCATTTTTAAGGAGTTCAGTATAGGCAATTTCTATGTGATATATATTAGTGCGAGTGATATAATATATATTTATGTACTGTGTAGACGTGTAGTGTGTATAAAATAAATAAGTGGCTCCCTCACCTCACGTGCATAATATTGTAAATTTATACGTCATGTTAATAACGTTTGTAAATGACACAAAAAAAATATATTAATTATTTTGTTTTTATTGATAAAAGTCTCAATATTTTTCCAATCATATTAACTAACCTTCCCATAAAATTTCTGAAAACATAATATTTGAATGTGTCATAAAAATTACTCGAAAACGACTTTCTGACATTTTTAAATCAATAATTGATTATTCAACCACGATATTACCATGTATTAAAAATTTAAAAATTTAATTTTGAAGGGTTAATTTCAAAAAAGTGTCAAAGTCTTCTTCAAAATTCAGATAAATTTAAATATGTTTTCAGAAGGTTTATCCGACGACTGTACCGATATCCGGTACAGTTGATATAAGATGGGTCTATTTTGGCTAAAAACAGAGATGAGAGCCCTAGTTAACGATACGATTATACGTGTTACCCCGATCAAAGACAATAATAGACATAATTATGTTAAATAAGGTATATTATCTTAAATCTATAATCAATATTCAATAATCGTGGTTTGTAGTTCACTTTTGTCAGACTTGGGTAAGATACTTTTAAAAAGTATTCGGAATAAATACTCGAATACTTATGAAAAACAGTATTCCAAATAATGTATTTTAAATACTTCAAAAATATTCCAAATTATTTTAAAATATGTTTTAATTTTTGTTTTAACTATTAAACCAATTAATAAGTCTACTTAAACCACTATGGACCTACGGTTAGGTTTGGAGATTTAATACAATGTACCTCATAAGGTTTTCTAACATAAATTGAAATATAATATAATATATGGTAACAACGAACAACTAACATTATTTATTTTTACATTCATATTAATATTATTTCAATCATAATATTAACATCTGTTAGCCGGCGCTTTGTATATGCAATTTCGCTACATTGACGTTGAGGTGGTGTCTTCGATCTATATTCTATATTATCGCTAGTCGGTAAACGCATATAATATTAAATTAATGTATTTTGGTTTCGATGACAGTTGTACCATACGATACAATTTTCAAAATCGCAATTTAAATAATTTGTATACATTAATAAATTTTAATTCAGAAAAATAATATGTTTTAGTTTTTAAATATTTTTTTATAATATTTTATATTAATACTATTTTATAATTCTGTAATTTGTTAATGTCCATTATGTTATTTATGTAAATAATTATCAGTTATAATATATTTTTTGATTTTATTATGTAACTTTAAGATTAATGAAAAATATTTCGATCCCTGTTTGCTCCGAGGTAAAATACTTAGGCCTTATATTAGATAGTAAACTAACTTGGAATTCTCATATTAAAAACAAACGTAAAGCCCTAAACGGCAAACGCCCGTCTTCATTTATTAAGGCCTCTCCTGCGATCTAAAATGAACATAAATAACAAATTATTAATTTATAAGTCTCTACTTGAACCACTATGGACCCACGGTATCCAGTTATGGCCTATGTGGAACCGCAAAACCCTCCAACACCAAAAAAATTCAAGCCTTTCAATCCATCTGCCTCTGCCTACTTTCCTCTGCACCCTGGTACATAACGAACAATAATCTTCACACAGATCTTAAAGTACAAACTTTAAATCAAATTGCCAAAACATACTATGCTAGATTCCAAAATAAACTCCAGTCACATACAAACCCCTTGATTATTAAACTATCAACAAAAACTCTACCCGATAACCCTCAACGTAGGTTAAAAAGAAAATGGTGCAGGGACCTTTTGTCCTGAAAAAAAAAACCCATAATAACAAACAGTAAATAAATTATCACTTGCAGGGTGTTATCACTGGGTAATTCCCCAAATTCATAATATTCATTGTTGTTGGTTTTGTATTCTTTTATCTCATCTAATTAACGTGCGTATTTGTTGTATAGATTGTAGATTGTCTTTTTACTCAATAAAAAAAAAAAAAAAAAAAACTTAAACCAATGATAATTTTCTTCAGGAAAATTTGTCAGGATAATATATTATTTAATAATTCTGAATATAGTCTAATTTAAGTTGTTGATACTTGATTTAAAATTTTTAAATGTGTATAATATTGTAAAAATGTCCAGAAAAAAAAGAAAACAATTATTATTATAAATAGGTAATGAGTATTTTTTTATACGAACAAAATACATTTAAAAAATATTCTAAATTGTTATTCAGAATAGGTACTGTTGAAAAAAGTATTTAAAAACTATTCTAAATGCCTACTTAAAAAGTATTCCGATTCCGAATACTGTATCTGAAATACTTTGTTCAGAATAGTGAATATACTACCCAAGACTGACTTTTGTACTTATTAGTTTATGTTCTCCGTGTGGTGGAGCGGAACGGAATAAACACCTATTTTTGCTAATGTTTGTATTTTGAGCCGCAACTAATATTATTTTATACTTTGGACTTTGGGTAAATTACTAAATATTGTTGAATGTAACTATAAATTATTATTTATACTTTATTATTAAATTTCGAATAGTTCAATTTTTATTCATTAATACCTACATTGGACATTGGCAGTTGGCACGTTGTGACCGATAAGACATTTAAAACAAATTGAGTCAAGTGCACAGCTGAAATACACATTTTCTGTTTTATTTGGTAAGAGATATAAATTAATTTTTTGTTATGACGTGATGCGATTTGGTACTGGTATCAAAGTCATTCTGGATTAGCAGGAAAGAGATACAAGTGTACATATCTCAGACTTGATTATTACGAAATTCAAATAATGTCACTTGTACTCCTTGTGTGGTGGACTTAATCCTATGCCACGATGTATAATTATTATCTTCTCTACATCGTGTTCTGTGTATATGTACTCATAAATGGATCATGTCTGGCCAGAGTGGCGAATTTAATTTTTTTTTTAACAAAAAAAAAAAAAAATCAATTTTATGTTATTTTTATATGTTACTAGCCGATTCCGTGCACTTCGTTGAATGTTAAATGTATCAACTCTATCTTAACTTTTTCGTTGCCATGAATAAAAATTCTGATTCCCAGCAGTACATTATCAGGTAGGCAATCTACTTGTGGTAGATCGCGGACTCCGTGCTGTTTGTAAGTGAGTGTATGATTTAACTCTAAAGTATCAAAGTTATACCAATAGTTTGTCGTTTTTACTTAATTCCACCTACCTACGGCTGATTAATATCATCAATTTAAACAAAATACAATCCTTTCCTAACAGTACTAAAATCCGATGAATAAAAAAAAAACAAATTTAACCCTTTGTAAATTAATCTATCTTCTTACCAGAGATCAAATCTACCAACAAAAATTAATTTAACTATATAAATACACAGACTATAACTATACAGACTAAACACTGGAACAACTTATCAGTTCTACTTGTATATACAGTAGACGCCGCTTATAAGACTCACTTTGGGACCAGCACAAAGTGAGTCTTATAACCGAATGAATCTTATAGGCGAAGTGGAAAAAAAAATTAATTACGTATTTATAAATTTTATTTTAATACATATTTTGCTTTGATTTTAATACTTTAACACATTTTACATATTACATACTTTATTATTGAATAAATTTAATAATCCTGATAAAAAAAAACTAAAATTATAATAGGTAAATATTACATATAAAAATATTATAAAAATTATACATTAATAAAAAATTATAAAGGATGTAAATAAATGATATTAATATAATGTATTTATTATTATTAATTTAGTATTTACCAACTTCTGTCTTCTACATAGTCCGGCAATCGAAGAAGGTAAGTAATATAAGTAATATATAAGTAATAAGTAATAAGTTATAAGTCAATAGTTTGTATAATAGTATATAATATATTTTTTTTAATATAATAATATTAATTGGTGATTGTACGTGAAAGTTAATTGTAATGTTGCTTAACAAATTTTTGTAGTGGAGTTACTGAGTGAAAGTTTTTAATAGTTGTTGGTTTTTGTATGTCTGTAAGTGTATTGTTGTGTTTGTTATGGTTTGTGTCGTTTGTTATAGTTTGTGTGTTCGTCATGATTGTAAAAAATCAAATATAATATGTGTTAATATATGTTCGTAGCGGGCTGATTTTAGTTGGTGTGTGTGTGTTATTTTGTGTTGATTTTGTTTGAATTTTGTGTTATATGTCTTGTATTGGATGGGTTGTTAGAAGTGTGTCTAAATGTTGTTTGTAAGTTAGTAAATTTTGTGTGTATTCTGTGTGTATGTCTATTGTCGTGGTGTTCAGTGTCAATGTTAATGTGTTTAAAAATGATGTGATGAATTTAGTTTTTCTTAGTAATTTGTTGAACATGTATGTTTTGTTGATGTATGAAGGTTTATGGAGTGTGTTTTTCCACAGTGTTGTTGGTAACTGAAACAGAAGACAAAAAACAATTATATAAATTATTTGAATTTGTGAACTATAAAAAGTTTTTCTTACACTATGCTGCATGGCAGTTGTTAAATACTCATCTTTGGTTATGTTAATGATTCTATGGATGGTGGTGTCATAATGTTTCGAAAATAGTGATTTAATTTTTGGTAGATTTTCAATATGGTATGTGGTTTTTTTATGGATTTGATGGCTGATGATATATTTCTGATTTATTAAGCTATTGAGGGTGAATTTTAAATTTGTCTTAGTGGTGAAGGGATGATTGCAGATGGTCATGACAATTTTTACATGGTTGAAAAGTGTATTAAGCTGAAAAAAATAGTTAGATATGTGAATAATGTAATTAAATGTGTAAAATAAAAACAAAAAAAAATGTTTTAATAGGAATATAAATACTTACAGTGTGATTGGAAGGGCTTTTAGAATATGAAAAGTACAAGTAGGTGCACGCTAATATCAATGTTTCGTTATAATTATCGACAGGAGGTAGGCGAAACATAGCCATACACTCCTTGTCGATAATTATATTGTGTGCGGAATGATTTTCTCCTGGACATCTATAATGTTAAAATATTATGTTAAAAGTATACGAGGTGTGTCAGATATAACTGGCTATTGGAATACATTTTCTTATAATAATTCATAATTTTTATTTTTGATTCTAAGAGTGAATTACAAATGTCTTAGATTTCATCAGAATACTGTTCTCAACACTTACCCCATATGCAAATTCAGATCATCCACAGTATGGTAAAATTTCCACCAGTTGTCAAGGCCAGAAATAAAGCATTGGAAATCCAAGTCCAACATGCACAACATACGGTGGTGAATGGTCTCCGTCGCATTCACCACCATATGTGACCATTTCACGATGCCTTCAATTGAGGACTGAAATCTGGTGACGTACCTCACCACCAGTTCAGTCTTCACCAGCCAGATCTTTTGTTCTAGAAGCGTACAAATTACATCACTGAAAAATAAAAAAAAAAAAATAAATAAGAATTTTGTAAATTACCTATGAACCATTACACTCACTTTTTTGGATTTATATTCAAATTGTACATTAAATGTTCGTTGAGGCTGTGGTTTAATGCGACAACCGTACTCATATCTAACTTAGATGAGTAATTACATAGGGGAGGAGGCTGAGGTTGAAAAAAGTTTTTAAAAAATGGGTCTAAATATGAGGTTTCCGGATTAATTGCTAACGATTTTTGTAAAGAAATAAATTTTGAGTGACATTGTACCGAACCATTTTGGAATAATTTAATTGTAGATTTAACCCTTTCACTGCTGACCATAAAAATCGAATGCAACTACTCTGTGCCGACTATATTTCATAAATTATTTAACTAGTATTTCCACCTTAAAAATATAGATATATACTCACTGAATCTGAAAAAATTAAAAAAAAAAAATTGGAACAAAACTTACCAAGTTATTGCTAATTGTATATCTCTTAGCCAGGGTTTCTCAAAATGGTTTCTCAAAATTCTCAAAATGATTTTTAAAATGAAAAGACGCATATGTGCGTCCATAGCACCACAGAGTTGCCTACGTTGGACGCATATATGCGTCCATAGCAGTGAAAGGGTTAATTTGATTACCATTGTAACCTCCAACCTACAAAATTTATGAAATTAAATGTAATACAAATTATAAATCAATCAATAATATAATTATTCACTGAGTATAGACGATTATTGAGTACACCAACATCAAATTTACGTCTCTTAATTGTCATACAAGACACTATTCTCCATTTTTGGGTAATGCCATCAAAAACCTCTACACTTTTTAAAACACTGTTGCCGTCACATCTGCCAACCTAGAATTACAAACAATATACATTTTTAATAGAAAATAAGTAAAATATTGATTTGACTTACTGCATATATACAATCACCTAATACTCCAACTCCCAAACACATTCTACTAACTAACATGTCGGCCATTGGAACCCATGATGGTGATTTTGAAGATACGTCAAGCATAGTAACAGATTTAGAACTCGATGCATTTACACCTCCCACAGCAAACACAAATCGATCATGTATTACACCAAAACCAGCATACTTCCGACATTCATTTATTCCTGGTGCATTCTCTCTTAGCTTGGTTGCTGGGTCATACCATTCAGTATAACACTTTGGCGATGTATTAGACTTACTGAACATTAGAAGAACCTAATAGAATTAAATGGACAAAATTATTGTGAAGATAAATTAATCAATTTGGAATCATACTTTTTGAAAACCATCAAACTGTCTAGGTTTAAAAATAATTGTTCTTGGAATGGTAAAATGCTGAACTGATTTTTGATGGTAAAAATGTAATGCTTCGATTATATAATCTTTACCTAAAAAAATTATAATAATGATTCTTAGTAATGATGATTCTTAATAATGATAACATATTTATGTAAGCAACATACATTTAGAAATATTGTCTAGAAGAGGTTCTTCAGATATATTAATTAATATATCTGGCTTTAATAATGGCAAACGTACATGTTCCATTAATTTTGGCAAAAAATCTATTCGATGATCTGTATCATGTTTTACCCATTTGATAACACGTTCAAAAACCTACAATAACAAATATTTAAAACAAGATTAAAATATAATAATAGTGTGTTCAACCATTCAATAGTGTATAATTATCACAGGATCCCAAAAATATAATAGATCTTTATGATCATGTGTTCCTACTGTTTATATTAAGCAAAGGAATATTAATTAATAATTCTTATATTTTTATGGTATTAAATAATATATATTATTTGATATTTTTGAATACACATAAATTACAATATAGACATGCAGTAGAAGGTTTATGTGCTGCGTTTGCGAAATTGTTTGGGCCTACTGACTAATCAATGTGGTACGTGGAGGTGAAAGTCATAGAAAATTAATTACAGTCGGAGCCGACCACAAAACTTCTTTATCATCAAGGAGATACAATTGATTTGAACTAATCATACAAAAAATTTTATTTAATATATGCTTCAGAAATTGACAACAAATCAGTACAGTTATGTAAGTCAGCAAATTCTCTGATACCAAGACAATTTGATGGATTCAGTTGTTTTTGTAAGAACTCAGCACATACACCAATTACATAATCTAACTGCAATACATTTGCAGCTGGTAATAACACCCAAGAAATCAAAAAAAATTTCACATATAATATTATGTTGTTTGAAGTCTATATAAAATTACAAAAATATTTAAAACAATACACGTGTCATCATAATTTACACAAAAATTTGTTCATATTACTATTAACAATGAGTACTACTGTAAGCTAATTAATGATAATGATGTGGTCTATCGACAACTACTCCACCATAAACTCGTACTCCTTTCTTGACAATCTTTCCAAGGTCCAAGTATTGGTGTTAGGATTGTAAATACACATAAATCACAATATAGACATGCAGTAGAAGGTTTATGAGCTGCGTTTGCGAAATTGTTTGGGCCTACTGACTAATCAATGTGGTACGAGGAGGTGAAAGTTGTAGAAAATTAATTACAGTCGGAGCCGACCACAAAACTTCTTTATCATCAAAGAGATACAATTGATTTGAACTAATTTAAAAAAACTATTTTAGAGTTATTTAATAGTTATAGACATTTAAAATAAGACATATTTTTGTTTATTTTCAATAACAGTCAATAAAATTATTTTCTATGGTAATCAAGCTTTATTGATTTTAGTTATTTAGTTTAAAAATATTATTTGTAGGAACCACGATTAAAGATATACAGGTTGCACATCGCCCTATAGTAAACCGCTTCCAGACTGATTTCCAAAGTGACTATAAAAATCAGCTGTTAATAATTAACTAGTGGCGCTTAATGTCAACACTCAACCATATGTGTCGACATTTAGAACTAATTTTACACCTATATATCTATAATCGGTTAATTGTAATACTGCCGCTTGGAGCGCCACTGGTTAATTATTGGTAGTCATTTCGTATTTCACCTTATCAGTAGTCGATGTGCAACCTGTATATCTTTAATCGTGGTAGGAACTTACAATTTTAAAGTATATTGTTATATTGTATGCACACAATGATCTTTTCATATGCACCTTTTTTGGAAAAATAATTAAAACTGCTCCAGAAATACAGTATTACTAATGTCTAATAGTAAAATAAATTAGTTTATCAAACATACCATAAAATATACTTGGTAATATTATTAAACCTTTAGAGCTCAGATTCCTTTTCGTTTACAATGATTTTATATCATTGAATTCAAATATAACACATCTGATACAGTGATCTATGTAAAGTCTAGACATCAACTGTACTGTCAGGGCCGGCGTTAGGGGGGGGGGGGGCAAAGGGGGACATTTGTCCAGGGCCTCGCGCATTCAAGGGCCTCTCGCTCAAAATGTACATAGGAAAATATTTTATATGAAAATCTTGTACTAAAACAAAACAACAATATAATATTATATTAAATATTTATGCGTCAACGTCGATCGGTATGGCACGTCGCACGGTATGGAAACCCCGGATTCCTAGACAGTTAATCGCATTATTAAATTTAATCAATCATTACCCGATATTGCGAGCGGCTGTCAAATCATCAGTAACTGTTGTCACCACGTCCGATAACAGTATATACTGGCTATACTACGAACTACGATAACGTCGATAACTATATAATATAAAATTATTTAATGTACCTATTTTGAGGATTTGTGTGCTAACGAGTAACGACAACATTTGAAGTTGAATATTCTCAATTGTTTTTCGACTGTCGTCCTCGTCTAAGCTGACAAGAAGAGTTTGTAAATTTAAATTTATTTCTCCACTCTCCAGGTAATAATTGTTGAATAATGAATACATTTTATAGTAAAACACTAGTTTAGTAATTTAAAATACCTTCTGAGCGTGTACACACAAAATACCTTGATCGGTGTATTGTGTAATAACATCGGAATTGATCAATATAAGTTACGTTCGTGGTACCGACCAGGACGGATGTGTAGTGTTTCTTTCGTTATTAGTGTGCTCTCTTATCAGCTTAATTATCTTATTATTTTAATTAGTTTCCAGCTATTATCGTTATTTCCATTCATTTTTACGTACATAGTTTTTACATAATGTCGATGTGTTATGTCTGCAGTTCCATTATTACATCACGAACATTATCTATATCTTGCAATGATTGCAAAATAACATGGCATGCCAAATGCCCAAATGCCAAAAACTAACAAAAGAGGACATTGCTTTTTATAATGACGAAGGCTCCTACTGGAGATGCAACAAGTGTTCTGCAGAAAAAAGAGCGTCTTTACGAATAGACAAAGAAATTAATGATGACAAAACAAACCTTATCGATTTAAAAAACATTATATTACAACTTAAAGATTGTTTTGAATTGTTTAAAACTGAAACTGGGAAAAACTTCGAACTTATAAGTAACAAGATTAATACGATTGACAAAATCATAAATGAAAACCAAACAATGAAAGCACAAATCAACACATTAGAAAATAAAATTGAAACTCTTGAACGTCGATTGATTGCTAATGAAATAGTCATCGATGGCGTACCTGAAAATAAATTGGAAAACTGCTATGAAATAATGAAAACCATTGGTACACAGTTAAATGTTAAAATCACGGACCCTATGCTTAACGATTGTTATAGAATAGGACGTGCAGAAAAAAATCGTACAAGAAGAATAATAGTTGGATTTACAAACCGCCAAGACAAAACCAAAATACTAGATTCACGTAAAATCATAAGAAATTTGTCCACAAAAAAAATTGGTATGGAAATTGATATGCCAATATATATAAGGGAAAATCTAACACCAAAAAGCAATTTTTTGTTCAAAGAAGCTAGAGATCTCCGTAAACAATACAATTTCCAATTCGCCTGGACTAAAAACGGACAGATCTTCCTTCGCAAAAATGAATCAGAGAAAATTATTCACGTTGTCAATGAAGAGGTAATTCAAAAATTAAAATTGAACTTAAACTCTACTCATTTAAACTAATTTGTTTCATATTTCCTAAATCATACCTACACATAACCAACTATCTACCATTTAATGTTATCAATGCCTGTTTGATTTTTTTACATAAATACGTACATTATTCAAAATTATTATTATATCACATAACACTTATATTTTTATTCTCCAACTACACTCACACGAAGAAGTCACTTCTATCATCTTATAATAAACATGCATTATTAAATTTAAACCGATTAAGGTACAATCAATTATTAGATTATCTCCACTACTACTTAATTGGGCTCTGGGTCGTTTTAATTAATCATATCACTATTCTTATAATATTATACCCATGACAAACAATACTGCAGATTACACTTTAGTACTAGATAATATTGATTCAATTAGTGCCACCGAATGTTCATGCGATGAACTAAAATCCATAATTTATACGAAAAACACCTTGAATATTTTTATGTTAAACATATGCAGTATCAAAAAACATTTTGACGAACTATGCATTTTATTAGACCATATCAACACACAAATTGAGGTAATTGTTTTAACAGAAACTTGGTTAGGACTAACACATATATCAACCAATAATTTTCAAATAAATGGGTACACAATGTTCACAACCAAATTTAACAAAAACCAAAATGATGGAGTGTTTGTCTACTTAAAAAATACTTTAGTAGGAATTTCAGTTATGGAAATAAACACTAGTACATTAACAACTCTAGAAATAACGTTTCAAATGGATAATGTTGTTTTTCTAGCTTATGCAAAATATAGGTCACCTAGCAATACAGATTTAGATAAAACTCTAAATGAAATAAACGATTTAATTCTTAAAAAATCTATATCAAAAACGGCAAATTACAAAATAATACTCGGTGATATGAATATTAACCTGCTTAGACCTTCAAAAATAAAAAACGATTACCTATTACTCATGATGGAATACGGCTTTGTACCTTTCATCAATAACGTTACTAGACCTAGTTCTAACACGTGTATCGACCATGTATTCATTAAAACGAAGACTATGAAAAATGTATTATCAATTATACCACAGTTAAATATAACTGATCACTATCCAATAATCCTTAGCATAAAAAATATCTCTAAAAACCGCAATAATGAACCAAACCCGTTAACAATAATGAAAACTAATGAAGTAGAACTTACCCACTTGATCAAAGCGCAAGATTGGTTATCCGTCTATCAAAATAAAGAAGTTAATAACGCCACTAATATTTTTACCGAAATATTAAATACTATAAAAATATCCGCTTCAAAAAAAATTCAGATCTCATCTAAAACCAAGAAAATTAAACCATGGGCAACCACTACTTTAATAAAGACAATCAGAAAACGAGATCATCTACACTCACAAGTTAGAAAACACCCTCATAATAACCAACTAAAAGATTATTACCTAAAATACAGAAATATGGTAACATTATTAATCAGAAATACTAAAAAAAATTACTATAAGACTGAACTGAAAAAAGCAGACAACAACTCAAAATTAAAATGGAAATTGATAGGAGACCAAATCGGTAAAAATAAAAAACAACAAACAATCCATAAAATACTCACCAAAGATGATAAAGAAATAAATGTTAACGAACACCCTAAATTAATAGCTAATAGCTTTAATGAATATTACATAAATGTTGCCGCCGAACTAATCACCAAATTAAAAAGTTATGAAACAAATAAATACAAAGACAATTTAAATCCTAATTCTACTGATAATAAAATAATACATGAAAAACCTTACCTCAATAATTTTACGAATATAAATGAATTTGAAATACTGAAAGCTATCTCTAAATTAAAAAATGGATCTGCCCCCGGAGCTGATAACATAACATCTGAACTATTAAAAAAACATAAACAAATTCTTTGTCACCCTTTGAAACATATTTATAATTTATGTATAAATTCAAATTGTATACCCTATGCTTTTAAAACTTCAATAGTCACCCCTATACATAAAAAAGGATCATACACTTCATTAAACAATTATCGTCCAATCTCTATTATATCAAATATAGCAAAAGTGTTTGAAAAAATTATTAAAAATAGACTAGTTGAATTTTTAGAAAAAAATAATTTACTATTTGAAAACCAATTTGGTTTTAGACCGGGAAAAGGGACAGATCAGGCTATAGCAAAAACAACAAATATTATTTACGATGCATTAGAGAAAGAAAAAAAATGTGCATCAATTTACCTTGACCTGGCTAAAGCTTTTGACACTATCAACCACGGTATTCTATTAAATAAAATGAAAAATATTGGGATAACTGGACCCGCTTTAGAATTATTCAAATCTTACCTTAGTGACAGGAAACAATTAGTTAAAATTAATAAAATACATAGTGATGAAATGACGATTATATGTGGGGTACCACAAGGAACGACCATTTCACCTATATTATTCAATATACAACTAAATGACATTAAAAACCTACCCTTAAAAAGTACCCTTGTTTGCTATGCTGATGACACAGTTTTAATTTGCTCAGAAATTACGTGGGAAGCTGTGTTTAAAACTATAACGGAAGATCTAAAAATCATAGAACACTGGCTTATAATGAATAACCTATTTCTAAACTACGATAAAACTGTTATTTTATTACATTCATGGAAAACTAATACGTTACCAACCAAAAAAGATTTCATATTACACGAGGATACATGCTATGCCAACAATATAAAGTGTGAATGTAAGAAAATAAACGTTGTGAATAACTTCAAATATCTGGGTATAGAAATGTGCTCAAATATGAAATGGCATGATCAAATAAATTCATTAACACAGAAAACCAGAAAAATGATATATATAATGAGAGAATTTCGAGATATCCTAAATAAGAAAGAATTAAGATTAATTTACTTGGCACTGATTGAACCAATAATATCTTATGGAATTATAGGCTGGGGAGGATCATATGAGAACGCTCTCTCTAGATTACAAACTACTCAAAACACACTAATTAAGATCGCCTTAAGTAAAGACAAAACATACAATACAGAACAACTTTACGAAGACTTTAATGTTCTAGATATCAAAAAAATATATTTTAATTCAGCAGTCCTTTTCTTAAAAAAACATGATGTCCCATTACCCCTGAGTCATAATGTTGTAACCAGGTTCGCTAAAAATAATAATTATACAATGCAATGGCCTCATAAAACGGGCATAAGAAAACAATATAAATTCGTCGGTACAAAAATCCTAAACTTAATACCAAAACACTTCCATGCATTAACTCTGCTTAGGTTTAAGATAGACTTTAAGAAATGGCTTCTTTATGAATTCAACAATAACCTATTATTATAATTAATAACATACCTTTTTTTAACTATTTGTTAAATTTATATTATGTATCAATTTTTCTATGTTCTATTTTTTTGTTTTTATACTCTAATTATAAGAAATCTACTACAGGTTTATATATCATGATTTTTTTTTTTTATTTACGTTTAATTTGTAATGTTTCACTAAGATAGTAGACACATATTTTTACTTAATATTATATAATTAATAATTTTAAACAATACAACATGTAACTTATACACTAGAAATTAATTAAACTCATGTACACATAATAACTCCTGGGCCTCCACACGAGAATACTCAGTGAGGCCCAGTATTCTTATCTTGAGAAATAAATTAATAATAATAATAATAATATAAAATAATTTTTAATTTGTATATATTAGTATATTAGAAAACGGAAAAATCTAATATTCATAAACTATAATAACTCAATTTATACGAATTATATTGAAGAAATCCGACGTTATTGCACCAAGTTTATTGTTCTCCTCAATGGCTTTATATTATATACTATATAATTTTTATTAACTTATTTATTTTTAATCTCATTAAAAAAACATGATATATTTCATAAAATATTGCTCTGATCTTTAAACACATACCCCTTTTTTGATAGCACTTCATATTCTTATGGTACTTTGACATTTCTCATTTTAAAATTTTAAAATTCAAAAAATTACAGACTACCCAAATACGGCAAACGTGATTTTATTCAAAATGAGTAGTCGGCAGCGAGATAAGTATCGTAAATTTGATTCAGGCCACCAAAAACGACAGAAAAAACAAAACCTTGAAAAAAATCTAAAAAAGCAACGTGGTGCGTTAGACAAATTTGTTTTTTCTTCAGATACTCTGGAGAGAGTAGCTGAAGAACAGAATGAAATTGAATGTTATGAAGAAGAGTTAATATTGGAAGGTGATACACAGCAACCCTGTTGTTCCAAAGAATTTGTGACTCAAAATAGTATTGAGATAGTTGAAAAATCTAGTGACTTAACAATAATTAATAATGAAAAAATAATTAACGAGATCAAAGAAGCAGATATAAATTTTAGTGATCCAGATCAGTGGCCACAGTCCTTAACCCATGATATGCGAGTTAAAATTGTTCTTAGTAAATCTGAAAAAATTGAATTCTACAAAAGTTATCCAAAAAATGATCAAAATAGGAAATTTAGTAATAAAATGTTTTATAGAATAATGAAAAATATCAAGAAATTGGTTGTTGTATTCAAAATCACGTGATCGAGTTTATTGTTTTTCTTGCAAACTTTTTAGTTCACAATTAAAAATTCCTAACCCTGGTAGTTTAACTAATAATGGAACCTCAGATTGGAAACATATAGCATTAAAATTGGAACAACACAAAAATTCTTCTTCTCATAAAGAAACAATTCTCTCTTGGAACGAATTAAAAACACGAATTATTAAAAACGAAACTATCGATGATTTGCATTTAAAGGAAATAGATAAAGAAAAACAATATTGGAAAGATGTGCTAAAACGAATTTTATCAGCAATTTTTTATTTGGCAAAACATGGTGATGCATTTCGGGGATCCTCTGATGTAATTTATACGGAACATAATGGTAAATTTTTAGGCCTCATAGAGATGATGGCCAAATTCGATCCAGTTATTCAAGAACATGTTCGTCGGATAAAAAATAATGAAACTCATGATCATTATTTAAGTCACCAAAATACAAGATGAACTGATTGAACTTATAGCACAAAAAATTCGTCAACAGATTGTAGAAAGCATCAAAGAAGCAAAATACTTTTCTATAATGATGGACTGCACTCCAGATGTTAGTAGAGAAGAGCAACTTTCTATAATTATTCGTATTCTAGATATGGGAAATAAAAGTATGTCTACAATACCTTGCATCAAAGAATATGTTATTGAATTTATTAATGTTCATTCTACAACTGGATATGATTTGACAAATATTTTATTAGATAAATTAAAAAGTATAGGTATAGATATAAAAGATTGTCGTGGACAAGCATATGACAATGGTGCCAATATGAAAGGCCAGTACAAAGGGGTTCAATCAAGAATTTTAGCAAAAAATCCTAGAGCATTCTTTTGATGCTAGAAAGTGCTAGAAAGTTATGAATTTATTCTTAGTCTGATAATATGGTATGAAATATTAGTTGAAGTAAATACGGTAAGCAAAACTTTACAAAACATTAATATTCATTTGGACAAATGTAGTAGCCTTTTAAATGGTCTTTTAGAATTTTTAAAATCATTTAAAATGAGTGGTTTTGAATCTTCAAAAATTAAAGCTAATGAAATAGCAGATGTCGTGAATATTCATAAAAAATTTAAAAAGAAGCGTTTTAGAAGGACAAAAAAACAATTTGAGTATGAGAATTCTGATGAAATAAATGATGACGCAGAAAACAATTTCAGAATATTTTATTTTAATGTCATTGCCGATGGAGCTATATTATCATTTAGTGAACGATTTAATCAATTTAAAATTTATAGCGACAATTTCAGTTTTCTATACAATATTGGTGAGCTCCAAAAAATAACTAATGACGACCTTATGAAGAGTTGCTTAGATTTACAAAATTATCTAAGTGACGGAGAATTATATGATATAGTTGCTTCTGAATTGTATGAAGAGTTACTAGTTTTTCGTCATACAATGAAAGAAGATTCTACGCCAATAGAAGCACTCAGTTTTTTAAAAACAATGCCTGGTGCTTTTACAGCTTTTCCTAACATAGTAATTTCACTCCGAATTTTGTTAACCATACCAATCACCTCAGCGTCAGCAGAAAGGAGTTTCTCAAAGCTCAAAATAATCAAAAATTACCTAAGAAACACAATGTCTCAAAAACGAGTGACTGAATTGGCTACTATTGCAATTGAAAATGAAACAGCAAATACATTGAATTTTAAGGACGTCATAGAGTTGTTTGCGTCCAAAAAATCAAGAAAAAAATTTTAAATATTCTATATTAATTTTGTTTTTTTATTGCTTAAATTTCTAATGTTTAAATGTATTATTTTATATTAAATTTAGTACATACAATTACAGAACCTTTGTACATTTGTAAACCTTAGTAGCTTAGTATATATTTTGTAAGTTATTTATATGTTTATAAGTTAACAAGTGTAATACGTCCAAAAAATCAAGAAAAAAATTTTAAATATTCTATATTAATTTTGTTTTTTTACTGCTTAAATTTCTAATATTTAAATATATTATTTTATATTAAACTTGTCATTTTATAGTATAGGATTTAGTACATAAAATTACAGAACCTTTGTACATTTGTATACCTTAGTGACTTAGTATATTTGTAAGTTATTTATATGTTTGTAAGTTGACAAGTGTAATACGTTTAAAAGTAATCATTAAAAAGTTGAAAATTAATATTTACTAATGTATTTTTATTTCAATAAACATCTTAGGTGTAACTAGGGTCAACATTTTGGGAGGGCTTAAGTCCATAATGATTTAAGATTGTTTTATTTGGGACCCACATTTTTTATGATTTTTTGCCTTAAATTACACCTATGTTCTATGCGATATGGATATTGGTTAAATAAGTTTTGCCCAGGTAGCGCCGGCCCTGTGTACTGTATACTTGCCCACCTTTATATGTTTATTTTCCATACATAATATTAAAAATACAATTTGTAGTTTGCTTACTTTTTCTTCAAATGGAACAGCAAGGTCATTAGAGGAAATAAGCTTCACCAAATCATCAGAAGATAAGGATAGAAAATCTTCGCCTTTAGCTACTTCTCTGGAAATAATAATCATTATTTTTATAATAAATTACCTACTTACTCTTGATATAGAGAATTAAAAAATGTTAATAATACAAAAAATGTTGTTTAATATATGCTTCAGAACTTGACAACAAATCAGTACAGTTATGTAAGTCAGCAAACGCTCTAATACCAAGACAATTTGATGGATTCAGTTGTTTTTGTAAAAACTCAGCACATACACTATTTACATAATCTAACTGCAATACATTTGCAGCTAGTAATAACACCTTAGAAATCAAAAAAAATTTCACATAAAACGATATTATGTTGTTTGAAGTCTATATAAAATTAAATATTTAATTATAATACCTGCACATTTTCTTTCGTGACCATAATTTCTCCAGTATAGATATAATCTATTAATAGTAGTAAAATGGTGGAATCTAATTCTCTTATATTAACAATATCTTTATTGCTATCATCAAAATTACTAAACATTGTATGGAAATATGGACTAGCTGCTATTAAAACATTTTTATGTCCAATTACAATTTTACCATCATCTGTTTCAAATCTAACATCACATAAAACTTCTTTTCTAAAAACAAAAATGTGTTACTCATATTTATTTTGAATGATAGTAAAATCATTGTTAACATACTTGCGTTGGGATTGTAAGTCTTCTAGTATTCTTACAGAGTGTGAGTCATTCCTAAAATTAGTTGGTTCACAGTCATTTGATTTCAGAACTTGCTTTAGATTATTTTCGTTATTTTCACAAGATGAAGCCTGAATGGTATCCATTTCTTCTACTGACGTGCCTAACAACTTTAAATATAGGTATTTAAAAAATTGTGATTAATTTTAATGATCATCATTGTGTTTAAGCTTAATACTAAATTTAGGTGCTTTAGAGTGTAGACAGGGTAAAAAACAACATAATGCTGATGTTAAGAAATTATTAAATTATTAGTTAGATTTATTAAAATATTAATGAATTAAAATAAGTATATTGAATAGGTACGAGACCTTTTTTCTTACTTACTGCAGTTGAATTCATATCAATGAGTGAGTTCTAGACAGGGCCGGATTGGTTAGGCGAGCTACCGAGAATATCTCAGTGGGCCGCTTAAAGTTTGGGCCGGTCGTGTGAGTGTGAGTGAAAATAAATGTATGTTTAAATACGATTGGCCACCTATAAGCTCGTAATAATTATAGACGTAATTTTGGGCCACTCATTATGCAAATGGGCCGCTTATAGAAGTGAAAATCTCGATGGGCCGATACATACCAATCCGGCCCTGGTTCTAGACAAAGGTATGGTATTGAAATATGGGCTAATATACAAAATACCTAATCAATGTCGGTAGGGACAGCTGGGATAAGATAAAGTCAGAAGTTGTGAGGTAAGAATGTAAGATGGGAATTGTAATAAGTTGATTATATCTAAATTTATCCAAAGCACATGTGCTGTATCTTTAGCATATTGTATTTTGTTGTTTTTATTTAATAATAATATATTATAATATTACGAAAGTTGGTTATACTCATTACGCATGAAGACTAGACACTAGAATACAATATCCTAGCATTGACTAAAGAATAATATTATGAATTTTGCCTTCACATTGTCAACTTTTTATAATTCTTGCTCTACCTACCTGTTTTCCTAGAAAGTCAAAGTTGCCCCAGACTACATACCAGTTATACTTTCTGGGTACTAAGGTATAACAGGAATTTTAAAAAGCTGGTCAGAAATTCACAGGAATTGAGCACTATACTTATCAATGCAATAAAAAAATTACAAAACTCAGATTGGGGAGGAAGTAAAGGTTATACAATTTGCTTCACAATCACATCAAACTTCATAAATCCATACAGGTGCTCAAACACAAACAATTTATTGTTTTTGGAGACACGTAAAAGTAAGTTTCTAAAGAGACATACAGGACACATTTGTATAGAGTACATTTTTACACGTCGACAGCTGCATTGGTACGACCCAAGCAGTTACTCTTTGTAGATTATATACGACGGTATATAGCATACGACACGCGTACCTACCCGCAAACTTAATATAATTTGCAAATGTCTATGATTGAGACAAAATTCGTCACAATTCTTACCTATAGTCGCGTTCCGATCTGTACGTGGTATGTAGCTGTGTCGGCGTAGGGCGTAGGAGCATAGGTCGATCGAGGATTTGGATGACGGCGGTGCGAAACGCGAGTATGCGGCAACCGACAAGTGACAAAGTTTAACTGCGAATTGAGTAACTGACAAGTGACCACGCGACTTTGAATGACGACAACGAAACAAAAAGCGGTTCCAGTTTGTGCGTGTGATCCTACTCCTTTGTCGAGTTAAACGGCGTGCGGTGTACAGTAATAGTTGTTATTGAAAATTTGAATGATAAAATAAAAAACGACAATATATTATTATCAATTGTTATAAAATAAAAATAAATAATATGATTTACCGAAAGATTACCGAAAACGCGTATTATACTCAATATTTTAATTAATACACTGTAATTTATAAACATAAGTGGGGATTTCCGGCGTTCATCGAAAATTATTATTTTCCGATAGAGATGTGTCGTTCGCGAACGAACGGATCTTATTGTTCGGTAATTGCGACTTGCGAGTGCGTACGCGCGAGTTGCGTGTTGGTGTTGAGACCATAGACCTAAACTTCTCGATTCTGCATCGAAAAACTTATCGTTTTCGTACTATTAAAATGGGTATTATTTTTTTTTTCTAGTAATATTCTTTTTCACGAGAGAACAGGACCATGTAAAATGATCGATTGGTGGGTGGACGACCATATTATGTGATCACGCTTACAACCTACCTTTAAATTATAATATACAGACATACACTGTAAAAAAAAGTTTGTTCATAGAAAATGTGTGGCAACACCCATTAATAACCCCATATTATTGTGTTTAAATCTACAACACATTACCTACTTGTAAATTTACAATCATAGCGAAGTTGAATTAATGAATTAACCTATAAGTTTACTCATCTTTATGATTTGTAAATTTAACTATTATTATGTGTTGCAATTTACCAACATAATAAATGTGACTTGTATTTCATATATATTTATAGATTAATAGTTAAATGCATGACAAAATAGGTCATGGTTAAATGTACAAGTCATTGTCTTATTCTGTGGCGAAACTTACTGATACGCACCATGCAAGCGGTTAAAGTTTAGTATATGTATACTGTATAGGTAGTAGGTACAACTGTATACACGTTTTCTCACCCGTTTAGGTTGATTAATAATTTTGTACCTAATTGTACGGATATGTTGTTATATTTTTTTTACTTATAATAATATTATTATTGTGTTTTCAGTTGTTAATTGTTATTACTGTACACTGTGAGTTGTGACACCATCGGACACACGTAAATTTCCTTTATAGTCGTGACTCGTGGTCGTTGTCATAGAAAAGAATACTGTCGCTGTTCAGCTGTTGTCACTCGCCGAATCGGCATTCACTCAGCGCCGAGAATCGCTGCTCCTACACAGGCACAACTGCCGTCATATTGTGCACCACACGGACACGCGACAAAGTAAGAATTGGCCAAAATACTTAAATACTCACGAAAATTTGCAAATAACTTTTGAGTTAGAAATTTATGTTCACGTGTCGTATGCTATCTACAAAAAGCCACTGATTGTATCGTATATTTTCTACGTAAAGGATTTGATTCTATATTATTATACAAATGTGCCTCTTATGTCTTTTAAAATACTTTCAAAAGACATTAGATGATCCGGCTGAACAGTGAACGCCGTCATTCTTCCTCCAATAAATTGCCTTTAGAGTAGGTTTTTTACTCCACAAGACCTTGTATTACATTTTACTCGTCTTTACTATGTCTTCATAAACACTCAATTGTTTGTATTTAAGCACCTGTATGAGGATTAAAAAAGTTGTTGGTATGGTTATTAATTATTGGTTTGAAGAAAATTACACTTACATGTAGTAAATATTATAATAATAATAATTATGTAAACATATCAGTTTACCTACCTATTTGTACTATTTATATTATGTGAATTTATTACTTAGATATAGAACAATAATATTATTTTTCTAATTTATTCTTAAAGACAAATTTGAGATGAATACAATGGTGTATTGGTGTAATTATAATTTAAATACCTACAATTTTTAGTTTTTTAATTGTTATTTTTTAAAGGCAATAA